AACTTCACTATTCTTCTACTGAGTAATTGTTAGAGTTGCCATTTTCTTTCCTTTGAAAATAAAAGAGAAAATAAAAGACGTTTACTCATTTGTGAGAACAAAAGACAAAGCGACAGAAAACTGTATTTCATTTCTTTTTTTTTGGTTGCTTGTATCATAAGATGTATCTAAGCATAAATTTTTACATCTTTGAATAAGACTAGAACATGTCACTACCCATCTTCTTTCATATATCAAACATAGTGGAATGTTTTCAATGATAGGCAGATCATGACATTTCATTGCATACGAGACACCCTATTTCTATTTTATTTCTACACTGTACTTATGAAAGAAAAACGAACATCAATTCTGTTATTTGCTTTCATCATGTCCAAGAGTGAACTTTTATAGAAAACTGTTGATTCTTCCCACCGTATTTTCTGATTCAATAAAATATTGTTTTTTCTTAGCAGATTATTCTCGATTACTTTTCGTTTGCATCTTTTAGTAAATCTTAATCAATTCTAAATCTAAATTGATAGCATATTTTATTATTGTATCCAACAGGCTCAATCATTTGATTCTATTGATCCTTAAATCGTTCATAGGAAGTGATGGCATCTAACTACGGAGTTGGTTACATACATTCTTCAGACTAGTGGCAACATGAATTTGATCACACAAATTTTACACAAATTTAAAATTTAATTGGATAATGATTAGTTCGTTTTTTTTTATTAGTAATTAATTACTATATTGAAAATGTAGCATTCGCGAATATACTATAACAACTTCATTTTGCACTGATATTTGCTGTTGGTCAATTTATTGAAAGAGATTATAATTCGATACAAGTGTACAATACCAAAACGTGCAATAATTGTCAAAAAAATTTTAGTCCAATATACAATACATAGGATAGATTGTTTTTTTAAATTCTTTGCAACACTCTCTTTCAACCGTTCTGTTTTGTCTTACGATAGATTTCTATTTTTTGTTTTTGATTTTGTTTCTACTCTCAATTTTTCCTGTCACTTAATTTTTTTTCTTCTCGGTGCTTAAAAAATGTAATGCAGAGCCGTGATAAGCATTAATAGTATAACAAATAAAATGAACGCGTCGGCGAATTGAACTTTGTATTTCATTGATTCTTTTAATCAAAGCGCCTTAATTTATCGTTGTATTGTTATTTCATTTTCCATTTAATCGATTACTGGAAAGTAAAATTTGAGATAAGCAGATTGGACTTATCTTTTCTTCAAGAAATGCGTCAGTCTGTTTTCCATTGATTTACACATACCCTCTACTGGATGAAATAATAATCCCCATCAATGCTTATATAGAACCGATACTTACTAAAATTATCAAATAGGTCAATAAATAGATACGATTCGAAACTCTACCCACATTGACTAGAAATATCATGCATTACTATCGCTTATCACCAAGCGAAATGAGTCAAGACTTAAAACAAAACGTTTTATGTGCCAGAACAGCTGTAAAAGAACAATGTCATTGGTTTTTATCAAGTTAAGAATGTATGCATTACAACTACGAATAATGAATGATACATATAGTTCATTTATTTCTTCCTTAGGATATGGTGTGGGTGAGAGCCTTCTTCTCTTCGTCCAAATATCCACACTTATCCACCGACCTTCCCACCCGTAGTCAAAGTTTCAAATCGATCATCCCCATTGTTGTCGAGAAAAATGAGTATATTACTTCAGATTTTTTACTTCAACGTTAATAGAAGAGAAATAGATTATTGATAAAAAAAGATATTAATTTAGTGATAGAGAAACAGTCATCATTAAGACAATCAAATAACCAACATTGTTTTGATGTCTGTTCATGATTTCAGTAGTTGATTGTTACGATTTGTTTTTGGGAGTTTTCTTGGAACTCTGTATCATCAAAATGCAACGTCAGTGATGTCTACGAAAGTAACCGACCAAATATGAAGAGCTTCTGTCAAAACTATGAATATTATCGTGTTGATTCGTAATGCATCAGGTAGACATAATGCATCTGTTGCTAAGATTTCTTTCAATTGAAGATACAGAGTAGGAGGTGACTGTGATTCAAAGAAGACAATCATATTATGAGCAAAGAAAAGATGACAACTACTTTGTTGTTTCTCAACGCATCAGCTAGATGTTGTATACCTTCATTGTCGATTTCATTGCAACGAAGGTCGACTGTGCAAAGTGTCTGCAAAAACATGATGAATATAGAAATGAGAAAGAGCGAGAGAGAAACCAGTGAATATAGTTACTGTGTTATTTCTTATTCCTCTAGCCAAATATTGTGCACCCGCGCCTCCAATGTTATTATCTCGAAGACCCAATGTAGTGAGCACCTATGAAAACATATGGATAGTCATGAGCGATCTTTCGAGAACAAGAAGTAAACCGTGTTGTTTAACAATGCATCGGCCAAATATTGTGACCCGTTGTCTCCAATATGATTGCCAAGAAGGTTCAGTTTAGAGAGTTTCTATCAAAGTATCAAGAATGCATATGAAGTAATTATTGGCATGAAATTACTTTGTTGTTTTGTAATGCAATACTCAAATGTTGCATACCTCTATCACCAATATCATTATAACTAAGATTCAGTGTTCTCAATGTCTTTGTTAATGAAAAGAGAAATAGGAGAGAAGAAGAGAAAGCACAGAAAATTACTGTGTTATTTTGTAATGCATTCGCAAGATGCTCTGCTCCTTTGGCATTGATTTCTTGACCACTGAGGTCCAATGTAGTTAGTGTCAACGTTAAATGATGACTTTGTATTCAACACTTGTAATTCACTGGAAATTACTTCACTGTTCCGCATTTCAATCGCCACACCTACAGCAACACAATAGCTACCAATGTTACGCTTGAATCCAAGTTTTATTAGATTCTGTTAGAACCAAAAGATCTATAAAAGATGAGAAGAACAGAAAGCCTACCGTGTTGCATCTTAACACATCAGCGAGGTAGTATGCACCAACGTCGCTGATTTGATTTCCTCTGAGTTCTAGTGATTTTAGTGTCTATAAAAAGAGTAAATAATTGACGATACAGAAAAACTGTGACCTATTCGAACTGAGTTATTTCGTAATGCATCTGCGATATGCTGTGCGTCATTGTCATCAATTTCTTCGCCACTAAGGTCTAACGTAATGAGTGACTACAACAAAATATAGAGATTTAAATGGAAACTATGATCAAAAGATAAAAAGTCACTTTGTCATTTCTCATTCCAATTGCCGCTCGCGGGTGTGGGTGTGGGTGTGTGGGTGGGTGTCGGTGGGTGTCGGTGTGGGTGGGTGTGGGTGTGAGTGTGCATGTGATTGAGTTCAAGACCCACACCCACACCCCCACACCCACCCACCCACACCCACACCCACACCCACACCCACATCCACACCCACCCACACCCACCCACACCCACACCCACACCCACACCCTTATTGTTTAGACGTGGCCGAAATTGGCTGTATGCAGAGCTGCAATATTGAAGATGGACACGATATGAATTTCAAGAATACGCTAGCAATATTGAAAAAACTAAGCAAATTGATTAAAAAGCATGGGAAATCAAATAGGTTTGAAATCGCCGAAGAAGTCCAAAACATGCTTTCGAAAGAGGAAGGTGGAACTTGGGTGGTAATTATTGGTGATATTGACAAGGTGGATAGTTGTTTCACCTACAAACCAGGGTGTTACTTCAACGTCAACGATAAAAACTCAATTGGATCATCGAAATTTTTAAAGTCCCATGATTAATAAATAGCAATTAAATGTCAATCTATAATAAAAACTTTGTTTCTAAAAATGATATGATGACTTTCACTTTTATACAAGTATTTGAGAAAATTATGTAAAATATGAAAGTATCTATATTACTGTTGAGATTTTTATTATCATCCGTGTTGTTAACACGAGATCATATTGTTTTTAGGAAACATCTTGGGTGCCGGTGTGGGTGAGGGTGGGTGTGGGTGTGGGTGTGGGCGAGAGTAGAAATTAACACACCCACACCCACCCGCATCCAGACACACCCACACCCACCCCATCCACAGCCACAGCCACACCCACCCCATCCACAGCCACACCCACCCCACCCCCACCCACACCCACACCCACACCCACACCCTTTGACTTACTTGTCGCTTATTTTCAGTAGAACAGAGGTTAAATTCACTTTATGAATAAGTATAGAAATTGATAGACTTGTAAATTGACTAAGGTTGTACTACTTACACATTCAAATGTTACAAAAAAAACCCAGATTTATCTCATGTTGTTCAATATTTCTTTATGAAATTCAGACAAGCTATTGATTATTGTTATTGATTAGTTTTAAAATGTAAACATGAGATTGATTTTGAAAAACTTGCTCATTGAATTCATATAATAATACATAAATGTATATTAACTAATGAAATGATATGTATCAAGATGTATTTTAGAATTTATTTTCTTCCGAAATTTATAAATGTTTTTATATAAAATATTTTTAAACAACGTTTGCATCAGACAAGAAAAATGAATAGAAAAGTATGTACATGTGTAGATTTTTGTTGTAGCTTTGATATCTACCTACGCCGCATGCATGAAACGTTCTTCTTTTGTTTGACTTGATAAGAGAAAAGGTAGTGTGATAAAAATTCAAGTAAATGTAAACGTTAGAAATATGATTAATATAGTTTGCTGTTATTCATCAAAGAAAGATTCATAGCAGATCGAAATCAATATTTTGTATATTTGACATGATGTCATTTCCTTTCGTGTTTTTTATTGTTCTCTATAATAATGATTCATTAATGCACTGTGGATTTTTCCAGGTAAACACAATTGCTTATTGTTATAATATTTTGTTATTGGGAAAAAAAAATCCCAGTAGTTTCTTCAAAACATAAATCGAACAATAACAGTAGGCAAACAATCATTTCAAATAGATTGATACGTTATACAATTATATACCATCAATGATTGAAAATATATAGTGATTCTTATTTGCATAAAATGGTAGTTACACGTCTAAAAATAATTACTCTTTTACTAATAAGTCTACTTAGTAATATTATAATGGAATTAATATTTAATTCTATTTTGAATATCTATCCAAAAATAACATTGTTAGAACATATTCAATCATCAATAACATTAACTAAATTGATTGGTATTATTTTTATAGGATTAATATGTTTTATTTTATTATTTGGAATATTGATAATGGTATCTGATCATAGTCTGTTTAATATTTATATAATAATTTTAAAATTCTTTGAAACAATTCTACCTTTAATTGATATAATCAATTTACTTTTGATTTATCAAAATAAAATAGAATGTTTTAATAAAGAAAATTTAACTATTATTAACATAGAAATGAAAAAGACAATGTATCCATCAATACGTTTTATTTTATCTTTAACTTTTGCTTTAATACGTTTAACTATTAATCTTGATATTGTACATCGAACATGTGATTATGAATGGAAAAGAAAAATTATTATTTTATTTGATTTATTACTTTTTATTTTGGTTAATATTAGTATTATTCGATATTTAACTAAAAATATATTTCGTATTGGACAAAAACTAAGTTTATCTATATTAATTTATCAATTAAATGATCTTTTTTTAAATCAAATCTTGTGGATCGATTCAATTAACTACAATAAACATATTAAACATCAATGCAATTCAATATTTTCTATTTTCTATTTGTTTAAAAATAAAAAAGATTATCATTTAATACTTTCTTTACGATGGTTTATATCATCATGTATTATTTATCTATTTATTTTATATATATACCAATCGATGATTATTATTGGTGATGATAATTTATTTTTCATAAGACATGTTGATATTTTTTTCAAATCATATGGACTTATTTTAATAATCAGCGTAATTATTCTTTGCCTTCTTGGTTGGGATACAATGCAAAATAAAAATATATTTAATCAATTTTTGGACAAAAACGTTCGTTGCAAAAAATATTCGGTGAGTTGTTCTTTCGTAAGCAATAATATCAAGAATAATAACATAAACAAAATTATATTACATAATTTTAATCATATTTTTGACAAAATATGTTTTTCATCTTTGTTCGAATTATTTAATCTGAAATTTCTTATGAAAAATCTGTTACATTATACAAATATGTAAAAACAAAAGTTCAGATTTTTTTTCTACTGATATAATCAGAAAAAAGTATTTCAGAAGGAAGAAAATTCATTATCATGTAAGTTCTATCTCTCTGGTTAGACTATTAAGGTTTTGTTCAAAAAGTAATTTGTAATACTAAGTATGACTGTTTTGAATAGATCATCATCACTACCTATAAAGAAGAACCAACAAACATGTATGGTATGTTATGAAGATAAAGATTTAAATGAATTTGATGGTTTAATCACAAGAAATTGTCAACATTTAAATCGATCATTATGTAATTCTTGTCTTTTTCAACATGTTCAAAAAGTTTTTGAAATAACATTTACTGATGATATTTATTGTCCTGAACTTGATTGTAATGTTAAATTTGATTATGATACAGTAAGAAAAATTCTCTTATCAAATGGTAATAATAAACTTGTGGAAAGCTATGATCGATATGTATGTTATCGACAGTTAGAACAAATGGATGAATTTATTTGGTGTTCTAATGTTTTATGTAATGTTGGACAATTAAATGAAGGTGGTACACAAAATAATATAGTTACTTGTTTTAATTGTCATCAAAAAACATGTTTTACACATAAAATACAATGGCATGAAGGATTAACTTGTAAAGAATTTGATATGAGTATGGATCCAATTTATGAATCTAGTCGAAGATGGATTGTTGAAAATTCTAAAAAATGTCCTCATTGTCCATATCAAATAGAAAAAAATGATGGATGTGATCATATGATTTGTATTAAATGTCGTCATGAATTTTGTTGGTCATGTTTAGCAGATTTTCAACCTATACGAAAAGATGGAAATCATCGACATGATCCTACTTGTAAACACTATGCTGCCTACGATGAATAATAGTATTGTACACTAACTATTTATTTTAATAGAGAAAATCACTTGACATTCACTATCGATTCTCAAGATAATGTTCAGTAATTTTCTAGAATGCATTAAACTTGTAAAAATTAAATATATTCAGTAGCTGTTAAAAAAAAACACAAAATATGATCAATTTACCCTTCTCAAATAGCATTCAAAGTTTTTCAACGGTTGTTTTATTTGTATTAAGATATTCAACTAAATAATCATTATTTGACAACATTTCAATTTAGTTTCTACTCGTGTAGTATAGCTTTGTTTCTTTTATTGTACGCTAACTAAGTGAGCTTTATAGTTCATATGCACTTCATAATGAAGTCTTCAGGCTCTAGTTTGTACATTATTAGTTGCAGCTTATTTCTTAGTTTTCTTTCTATTTTATTAGGAAAATAGGTAGGAAATGGAGAACTAAGCTGGAACTAGTAATGTGAAAACTAGAGCCTAAGAACTTCATTATGAAGTGCATTTGAACTAGAGAGCTTACTTATTTAGAGTACAATAGATGAAACAAAGTTATACCATAGAGGTAAGGAAATAATTCTTTTGACTCACTATAAAAACAACATAAAGACATCAGCAGTTTGAAAAACTCTTAAATGAGTAGTGATTACAGGTGATATTTGTAGAAGGAGTTTCGCCATGTAATATATCCTTTCTAAGATAAGTCTCATTTGATTAGGTACGTCGTCTTGAGATCATACAAAATCGAAAAGAATTCGGGTCTATGAATCTTTCTTCTTGAGTTATGGTCATTATAGCGAGTTTTTCAACAAAATGTCATGTTTCCGATTACTCTGAATCTCGACATTGACTTTGGAGTGTTGAATTTAAAACTTGTACACATTTAGTTTCCGAAACAGTTAGTTCATTGGGAAAATGTCAAATTTTCTAATATCTCCTATCTTCAAATACCTATCTAAAAAATTCTTGAGAATATAGAAGAGGGTCACCATGACATCGATATCTGGTTCCGGTGTACACCTAATGGACTTTTGGTTGTTCGGAGTTCTGAGCAAATGCTGCTTGATATGATGTGCCATGCAAAAAAGTCATGTGTGAGTAATAGTCATAAAATTCATGTAAAAAGATTTGTGTGTATGACAAAGCTTTTTTCAGCATGATGACTCTTCCATACGAAAAATTCTGGTTACGAGCCCGACTATCAGTAAACTTTTGTTGCTTTTTCTTGCTGCAAAAATCATCTATCTGTAAGATGCGATCATATTGACATGCGGTAATCACTTTACTTTAGTTATGATTGAAATCGTTCGTAGAATGGCTGTCTCAGTTGTTTGATGAATCAACTATTTCTCGTAAATTTCATGCAACCTTCTAAGACGTTAGGTTTCAGTTATTCAATACACCCGTGTAACCGAAAAGCGGCTACAAGAGGATGTATTCTTCTTTCATCGAATTTTTAACGATAAATTTTCTTCATCGCAAGTGCGCCACTGGATTCTATCGGATCTGTCTCAATCCAATAAACCATGATGTCGTAATCCAGTAGGTTTCATCCATTTTCAAGAACCTAGTCATCGAACATTTTGATTAAATGAGCTGTCGACTATGTTTTAAAATTTTGTGAATTTGTTCTATGTACAGAAATAAGTCAAAGTCATTGTTTTTTTCTGTGAAAAACAATTATAAAAATGAATAAAGTAGTGGTAAAACCAACGGTGCTGAATCCTCCCTCAACCCTAGCAATGTAGATGGAGGTTATGCCAGCTAAATTCTCTCAACGAATTTCCTTCATTAGATACAGTCCGAATATCTGAGCTCACTTATATTAAAATATTTTTTTAAGGTAATTTCAACATCTCTATGAAGATTACGTATTATTTAATAATAACAAATATTATTTTTTCTTTTATTTAAAATCATTTGAGCATGCACATGAAGACTAAGCATTATTTAATAGAAATAAGTATTTTTCTTAAGGTCGCTTCAGCATCCCAATGAAGACTAAGTATCATTTAATAATAATAGATATTATTTTTCATTGTATTTAGATGTCTCTCGATAACGAAATGACTAGTAAGTATTATTTGATTGAAGAAAATTGTATCATTTTTACTGCGTATGCGAAAAAAAAGTCATCTTATTTGTCATTCACAAGAAACATATATGAAAATGTTAGTCAGTGACGGTGGTATAAATGTCAAGACGAAGTGGTTATCGTAGATCTAAAAACTTCAACCAAGTTTGCTCATCGTGAATATTATTTGGTCAATTGTGATTTTCTCTAAAAATCGAAAAAAAATCACCAATTTGTGCTTGATTTTGATGATATGAGGGATAATATCTTTGCTCTGTATATTAATAACGATACCTAGATTTTAATTTATTACATATAACAAAAGCATAATGAATAGGGAAGCGAATTACTGTAGAACGCTAATTTAACTCTAACATAATGCTGCTGGGTCTCTTCAATTTCGCCATAAGATTCAATGAGATCCTTTCCCAACGTAATATTCGTTGAGTTTCGGGTTATTGGATTATGAACTGGGTCCGATCGGATGAAGTCGAAATTTGATTATTTCCGACATTGACTCTGACAGAATTTTATAAGAATTAATGATCGGACTTTTCGATCTGTAAAGTCAAAACGTCTTTGTTATATTAAAAAGGTACCTCATGAAAAATGAGTTTCTCAGTATTTCATACAAATTTTATCGTCTAATGTTGAACTATTTTTAGTTAAAACAGCAATTCAATTCAGTTTTCCGACCAACCAATGGAAGGCACTCATACAAACTTGACGCGAATCTATATACATAATCTGATAAACATTTACGTGTCTACACAAAGTCTAGGTGAATGTGTGTAAAAAAGTCGATATAGACCTAGTTCTTCGCTTTATTCAAACATATTTAGTTAAAGATGAGGCTGTAGAGAATGATGAAAGTTAAGATATAAAAATGAAAACTAGCAAGTAAAACAAAGAAAACATATTATTTCGTTCAACTCGGTGTCGATATCAGCCAACTATCAAAAAATATTCTACTTACCATTTCTCAGGATAGGGACCGCTTCCAGTCTTGCTTACCTCGAGTTGCCAATCTACGAATTGTATCTGTGACTGCTCTATTCAAGAGATTAACTATTGTTAACTTCAATGTGAATTGCAAAAGGAGTACCATACAAAATGACATATAATCATTAATACATTTCTATCTTGTCATACTACCCGTATTCAATACAATCATTTTAACTACGCCTCATTAACATAATAAACATCTTGAGATGTATAATTACTCTACGTGGTTACTTCCAAGTACGCAATATTGATGATTCACAAGAAAACATGACTAGTTTGAGTAGAAATGTCTTTTGATATGTCATAAATAAGAAAATAATTGTAGAAAGAGCGGAAGAAGAATAGAAATAATGCTGGGTCATCTACAAATATGTAATATGATAATTGTTTCTTTCAGAAAATGATTCAGAATGGCATGACGGTGTGGGTGAAGGACAATCAAGATATTTTACCGACATCAACGCATCGAAGTAGTTTGAAAAAAAATAAAGTAACAGTTGAGTGATTGTTTTCAGTTTTTCAGCAGTTGCCAATGCCTTTCTATGCTGATTTTTCTTCCTACACGTCATAAAAAAGCTTTCAAAAAACATAATACAGAGGTCTATAATAACAAAAAAAACATAGTAAATAGAATCAGTAGAGAGGAATGGAGAAAAAATAAATATGATATTCAGAGAGAAACTTGACTGCGTGTATGGCATATTATTCATTCTGTTAATGTTTTAAACCGATCATTTGTTACAAGCCAGACAAGAAGAAACCAAGAACAGTAAGTTGTTACATTTCAGATATGAATATTCAAAATTAGGCGTCTTCATCTAGAGTGGTATGGGCATTTTTTAAAGGACTTCTTTGCTATCAAAATCTCAACAAATCGTCTCCTGCACAGCGATAAATAAGACAATTTTCTAGAGAAATCGATGAAGTGAATCGATTTATGCATAGATATCGCGAAAAGGGAATCGTGTAGAGAAAATTTTAAATTAATACATGTTTTAAAAGGGAATTCTTTTTTTTGAATCATTCTCATTCCAAATCGAACTTTGGCTTGCTTATATAGACTTACTATAAGTAAGATGGAATAGATGGTTGGAGAAAGAATCTGGATGTGGCCCTTCATCTAGTGACTACTTACGCTCACTCCGACATCTACACTCATACACAAAATCGTAGTCTTAGAAATGTCGAGAGAAACAACAGTGTCTTCATGAAAAAATTCTGTCGATATTTCTAGTTTACTCGGTATAGAAAATTCGATGACATTCTTGTTTCACAGCAGACAACCGTCGAATAAGAACGAATGCTCGAAGCAATGATTGTACCGTTTCTGATGAAGTACAATGATTAAAAAGTTATTCGTGATGTCATTCGCGACTATGGAATATGAAACCACAATTTTTCAAGGACAAGATTAATAATAAGTTTCGGGTTGAGTCATGCTAGGTATACAGAATTGAAAAAAATTTATTCGCTGAGAGATATTTTGCACAATAACTTCGAAGACCACATCACAACTTTTTGTTCGATAAGATGCAGATTAGAAAGAAAGGAAAATAGGAAAGAATATGACAATATTTGCTTTAATGTAGCTTAGAAATAATAAGAGCAAATCGACAGAATCTATTGTAAAGTTAATACGTATCAGTTTGAATATTTTCAGTTATTGGACAACTGATTATCATCCTGTGAATGTCTTGGTCTTACGGCGCTTATGTTGCCGCGAATGTTGGCATATCTGCTGCTCTAATAGTACTGACGATCGTTATTGTTCTTTTTCTGCCGTACTCCACAAAACTTTTTTTGATTGAGCGTGTTTTCGGTATCTATTTCAGAAGAAATGATATCAGATCGTCGACTATCGTTATATATGATGTTGTTTTGGATAAAGCAATTTCACAGTATTCGAAAATTGAATGGATGTTTGTAATTATCACAG